TGAAAAATTCATTATATGGCAGCATAAAGACTGATGGAAGCTTTTTTTCCCCTCCCAGGGCTCTGTTCATTTCCTGTCAATGCCTGTTTCTTGTGTCTGAGGACTCCAAGGTGACACCCTGAAACAGTGATCTGCACTGGATTTTGCACTTAAGAAGCTGACTTGATGCACACAGCAAATCTTGCTCTTAGATTAGGTCTGATGAGGGCCCATTTGGAGACATTCCACAAGCAGTTAATGCCTCTGGGAAATGAGCACTCTACAGTAAGAAGTCCTTTCATGCTTATATGCTGGTGTTTATGCTATTGCCTCAATTTGAAATGTTCCCCCTCCTCCAATTCTCAACATATTGAAATGTTTTAAATTTAACTCAAATACCACCTCCTCTCTGGAATTCTTCCTTATCCCCCACAATCAAGATGAATTGTTCTTGCTTCTCTGCACTCTCTGCAACATATTATTTGTCCCTCTGTTTTGCAGCTATCTGTCTTATAGTTTATTTCATATATATGTTTCCTTTTCTCTAGCAGAAATTCATAAATGTTTGAATGTCCCAGATAAAATGGGACAGATGGAAGTAAGACTTGGTTTGAGCCAAATTATTTTGGCCCTGGTATCTAAATTATATTTTGTTCTATAAGATTAAACACAAAAACTCTAGTCTAGCATCTAACATCTCTCTTGAGTTTACATCCAGAATTTTACAGGGAAATTCTTTTTTTCATATCTCTGACCTTTTTTATCATGCTGTAATGAGGACACTGCAGAAATAAAAAATATAAAGCCCTGATTTTGAGAATTGCCCACAGTCACGAAATCAAACAAGAATTGTGCCATATACCTTAGAAAGACAAAGCTAAGACTCTAACCCAGTAAGACAGCAATTTAAGGATGGTTATAACAGAGAATAATATCCTACATCTGGTATCCCCCACAATGATTTCCTGCAAGGATAGAACAGGCTCTTGCCCCCAAATCAACTCTTCACAAAAGCAGACTCCAATCCAACTAAAAGAAAAGCACCGAAGATAAACATGCCACCAACAATATTTGAGTGACGTGTTGTATTATAACCATCAAGAACACAGAGCCATGCAAAATGTAGTGTGGAGAAAGGGGTAGAGACAAACCTGCTGCCACCTCTCCTTCACTCACATCCCCAGGATTCTTACTTTTCCCAGAACTCTTCTCCAATAAATAAACAACTTATTTATTTATATTTCTAAAAGTGAAGATTAGGACAGAATTTTCCATGGAATTGGTTCATTCGACATGTTTTCCTTATCTGTGTGGTTCCTGGCCCAATAATTATCCTAAGGCAAAGGGTGAGTCTACAACATAGTATCAGGGTAGAACACCAAGTCTGAGATGCACAAGTGCACGTATCTTCCCTAGAGACAAAATACATTTTTTTCTTATAATTGTTTTAGCAACAAGAGCAGCACCCTTTGCACAGTTTTAACTCAAATCTTAACCTTCAATGATCACATCAAGATAAAGGTGACCAGATGGCTAACTTGGTAGCAGTAAGTCAATTTTAGGACTATTTCCAGACAGAAATCCAGGGTGTTCTATGTCCCAATCCTGCCCACCCTCTCCAATTTTCTAAGATAAAGGAAGAGAGAAAAGCAAGGAGTAGTCAGTTCTTGAGAGCCATTAGGAAAATCCCTGCTATCATGCACCGTTTAGAATTACTTAAATACCTTTAACAGGTAGCCCTGGGTAAGGAACCCTCTGAAAAGAAATAAGACAGAGGGTCCTTTGTTACCTGCTAGCACAGGCTGTCTGTCTTCTGAAGAGGACAAGGCATATAACTAGGTTAATGCTGGGTCTGCTGTGTCCAGGTGCAACATTCCCTAGAAGATGGTTAATGTCCCGAGATTCTAGGGGAGTTGTTTCACTATAAAAGGTGATGGGGTACAGGGAATGCAAACCGTAAGGCTCCCATAGGAATGACTTGACTCACTTTCCTACCCATTGCTTCCCTCCTGTTTCCTCCTCCTCCTGTTTCCTCCTCCTTCTTAAGCACCTGCTTTCAATAGTCTCTTGTTCAGGAAGAAATCTACTATCCTAGAAACCATGTTAATTTTCTTTTTTTTTTTTCTGGAGTCCTAGAAAATACATGAAGACCATGTTTCATTTTGTTACCTGTGGGGGTCTTCCTTGCTGTTGCTGTTGATGTGAGCTAACTGAACCAAAGCCTGATGCCAGTGTTTGCAGATGCCTCTAAGGCAAACTGTGAGGTAAATAAAGAACATTTGACATCTGCACCCGTAGAGAATTAGAAATATCTGCTATAACCTCAGAAAATATCTGTAGAGGAAAAGGTCACTTCACAAAGAAAGAGCTTGTCTGAAAGTGTTTGCAGTGACCAGGCAGATAAAGGCCCCTTCCCCTTTAAAAAGCCAGGTGGTAAAATAACAACTGCACCTTTCATCCAAATAACAATCAGAATTGAATGAGTTAGAGACAGTAGAGGAAAGAGAAAATGGTGTTCTGAATATCTCCTTTAGAGGATAATTCAGTGCCACAGAAGAAGGAAATAAGTGAAGCAACTTCAGATGGCAGGAGGAATGGATTGAGGGGGGAAATTTATAATTACTTAAGAATATATTCCCCTAAATAGCAGAAGATATTAATATCTATTTTATAAATAGCAGTTTAATAAAGATAAAAATTACTGTGCCAAAAGTTAATTCAGAAAATAGCCAGGGGAAACTCATACTACAGAGTGTGTGTGTGTGTGTGTGTGTGTGTGTGTGTGTGAAACTAAAGTGGAGATCAACATAGATGAGTGAGATCACTATTTATTTCAACATCTAAGTGTTTTATGCAACCCCCATTCCTAAGCATCCTTTAAACATTTATCTTACTAGATGAGGCCATGATTAATTAGGAATAAGGTGAACAGCTTTGTTACAGACAAAATCACCGATGAAAGCGCGGCCGCCTTGACTGGCGTCCTAACCCACACACTGGAGGACAGAGTTGAAAAAAGGGAAAAGGAGAGAGGCAAGTGGCCGGGAAAGGGGTCTGGGAGGACCCGAGCCTTCACACCCACGCCCGCCTCTGAAAACAGAAAGCTGGTTACCTTGACACACACGCTCCCTCGGTTCTCAACGGCCTCGTCAGCTCCAGTGGTCTGCGATGCCTAAGGGTTCTGGGAACCTTACCTCCTACTCTGTGGTAATTTCTCTCTCCACCAACTAAAGAAGGGATTTAAATTTTAAAAATTTTAAAAATCACCTGCTCTTTCGCCTCCTTCATCAAGCTCTTTCCCTTCTTCTCCTCCTCTCACATTCAAATCCCGTGCTTGAAAAAGAGGCTGTGTGCACGCCCATGCATGCGCGTGTGCGTGCGTGCGAGATAGCGAGCGAGCATGCACGCCTGCGTGCACAAGGCAAGCGGGCTGTCCCAAAGCCTAATGCCAGTGTTTAGGCCGCCTTTCAGGCACGTTGTGCAGAAAGTACAGAACATTTGACATCTGTGCCCATGGAGCATTAGAAATACCTGGTATAACCTCAGAAAATGAGCTTGTCTGAATAAGAGTACTGAAAAGATGTCAAATCATCCAAGATTAATTTAACACATTAAATGCAATTGCAATTTCAATTAAAATTGGGACATTTCTTTAATTTTTATAATATTTTATTTCACAAAATTATTCTAAAATTTGCTTGGGAGAATGAATTATCAAGGTAAGGTATCCAAAGGAAAAAAATTTTAAATAGTAAGATAAAGATGAAAGTAGTAACAGAGGGAATTCATTCAAGTTATTAACCATATTATACAACAATAATAAGTAAAACAGTGTGGTGGAAGTCTAGGAATAAACAGGTAAACAGAACCAAATACAAAGTTCAGAACCAAATGCAAGTACATATAAAGTATGGCATATGAAAATGTCTCCTGTCAAATCATTAGAGGAATATGGATTATTTAGTTGCTAGACTAAATATGAAAGAGAATAATAAGTTCTTCTTCATAACATATGCCAAATTGGGTTTCAGACATACTCAAGAAGTAAAAATGAATAGGAACACTGTTTTAAAAATTTGGTAGAAAATTTCAACATTTTTCTGATCTTGGGACATGGAAGTTAGACTAAGCAAATATTTAAGCATAGATTTAATAAAAGACAATACAGATAGATTCAACTACCTAAAAGGCAGATTTCTGAGTGTCAAAAAAGCCATCAACAAAATTAAAAACAAGTGAAAAATTCCCACAAAGAATAATGTAAAAGATATTCATGGCAGGAAAAATATTCTCTTTATACAGCACTCAGACATCAACAAAAGGAACAAGAATAAAGACCTAAAAATGTGTTCAATATAACAGACAATTCAAGAAAGAAAGAAAAAAATGAGTGAATAATAGATTAATTCTTATCGTTACTAATAACGAATGTAAATTTAAATAATGAAATACTATATTTTGCGTATCAAATTGGAAATGATTGAAACAAAGTGTGCCAGCTGGGATGCAGGAAAATGCGGGCTTTAAGGAACTACTGGTAAAAAGTGTAAATGTTTCCTACTTCCTAGGAGGATAGAATGACAAAACGTATCCAAAACCTTAAATATATGCATGCTCTTTTAATCATAAACTCCTCTAAGGAAATTAATCAGAGGCATTGTCTAAGTTTTATGTAGTAGATGTTAATCACAATATTTATACTTCAAATAATGGAAAATGGTAAGAATTAAGTAAATATTATTTATATATATATAAGCCACTTATATATATAAATAAAGCCACTTAAAATAATGCCACAGAATGATGGTATTATGTCAAAAATGTTCATAATATATGAATGAGTGTAGAAAGCATATATTAAACTAGAATGGTTTGGATTTTGTAAAATCACACATGCACACACACGTGTGCACATACACAACCAAACACAACTAACTAGAAGACTATACCTCAAAATGCTACCAGCTGATAGTGTAAAATGGTGAGGTTATAAGTACTTTTTATTCTCTTTCTTGAGGCTTTTATGTGTTTACAAAAGCCAAATCATTTTATGCAGATTTAAGATGATTTTTTAATTGAAGAAAACGTTCTTAAAGAGTAAGGTAATTAAAATGAAATAAAGTATTTTATCAATGTCTCTGAAGAGGCATTTCTCTTCAAGGATAAATATATTCTTACAGTTCTTTAACCACATCTCCCTAAGTTCAGCACCAAGACACATTTTATTGGAAATAGTTGCTGGCAATCTTCAGTTTTAATTTAATTCCTGGAAATCTGCACTTTAACAGCTGGGAAAATGAACAACTGTATATTAGTAGATTCACTTTGTCTTATGAACCTATGCCTGAATTGCTCATATTTAGCTATTGGAAAGTTGCTGGTATGAGCAGAGGGAGGTTTAGAATTTAACAATGTCAACAGTATTTTTTTTAATTGTCTAGTTTATCTTCCTCCAAGGAAATTAGGGGAAAAAACTTAACCTTGGCAGCTCCAGGGCATTTTCTGTAATGAGACATATATAACCCTCCTGGAATTAAATACATATTTAATTCATTTTCCTTCCCTATGCTTTTAGTCTAGTGTAGCATCCGACTCTTAAAGCATTTCTACAGCTAGTTGTCAGTAACGGCACCAGACTCAGAGTGGCCCAGATGGCCTATGGGGTGGTGAAGCATAGGCTCTCAACTCCCAACTACTCACCCAATTAGGAAAAGATCAGGAAATATCCCCAGAGATTCCTGAGTTTTTTGAAGTCATGTGATCTGGGACAGGCCACTTAACTTTCCCATGCCTCAATTCCTCATTTGAAAAATAGAGATAATAATGCCAAACTTATAGCATTCAAATGAGAAATAAATTTTACAAAAACGATACAAAATAGTTTGGAGGAAAAAAGCCGTACATATGTCCTGCCATCTCAATGATGCTACTCTGAAAAAGCCACTGGTTTTAGCAGAATGAGATTTGAGAGTCTTCACTGTGGTTAGGTGTTTCCAGCACCCTCACAGTTTAGAGAGTTGTCGGGTGGCTGTTCTGCTTGATGTTTGTGGCCCCTGGATGGTGTTGACAATGGGCACAGGAAAAGAATGCTTCTTACAGAAAGTAAAATTAATGTAAATTGAGAAGGAGAGCAGTACATCCTTCTGCTCTACGTTCTTTACAATACACTCTTTCAGAAAAATCACTGATGGCAGAAGTTTAAGGCAACTATTTTATTCAAACACATTCCATAAACAAAACGTATTTTTCTTCGGTCATTTTCCTGATAATTCTCCTCTTGCACTTGGCCACTTTATGGGTAATCCCTGAGATTATGCCCTTCCTCTTTCTTCTCCATGCTCACCTCACTGTTCACTTACTCCACCCTTTATATATCTGCAGAGTAAACTGTAGGCCTACAAGATGCTTATAAACTAAAATAATCATGCCCAATACAGAAAAAATAAGAGAGTAAGTGAGGAAGGGTGCTCCTGGAAGATGCTGTGGGGAGTTCTCTGTGTTGAGACTGCATCAGTGGGCTAACTTGCACTAGGAAGTCTTCAGATGCATTCAATAAATTCATGCCCTTGCCACTTTAGGAGATGCTCAGCTAATGCCTCATCAATGAATCAAAAACACTAATCTCTGGGATTATAATTGCCTATTTATGGCAACAAAAGGGAAATTTTATGGGAACATAATTACACTTACTCAAAATGGCTACAGCCAAAATTCACAGTCATTCTTACTCCAAATGCATTCTTTCAGTAACATTTTTCCAAAGAAAAATAAAATCAATGTTTATTCATCTGCTTCTTCCAAATAAAATTAAACCCAGCAACATTTATTGTTTGCGTAGCATTGGCCTCATCAATACAAGAGATGTATAAAGAATGGGGCTCAAAACACTGGCTTTGGTGCTTGGTTTTGGATGTAGTTCCATCACTTACCGGCTGGATTAGTTTCCTACAGTTGCCGTAACAAATGACCACAAACTGGGTGGCTCTAAACGACATAAATTTTCTCACGGTTCTGGAGGCGAGAAGTCTGAAATCAAGGTGTCAGCAGGGTTGGTCGCTTCTGGAAGTTCTGAGGGTGGATCTATTTCATGTCTTTCTCCTAGCTTCTGGTGATGGCCGGCAGTCTTTGATGTTCCTTTTTTTCTTTGTAGATGCATCACTCCAGTCTCTGCCTCCATCTTCATATGTCTTCTCCATGTCACAAATCTCCCTCTTGATTCTTAAATAAGGAGATGGGTCTTTGGATTTAAGGCCCACCCTAAATCCAGAATGATCTCATTTCAAGATCTTTAAGTTAATTTATCTGCAAAGACCTTATTCCTTAATAAGGTCATATTCACAAGTACTGGGGATTAGGACTTCGACATATCTTTTGGGGACCATTATTCAACCAACTACATCAACTGTGTGACCTTGGGCAAACTATATAACTTTGAAGCCTAAATTTCCTTATCTGTAAGGTAGGAATACTTATAATAACACAGTAGAATCATAATTGAGATTAAATAAGTTAATCTTTTAGAGTACTTAGTATATTGCTTCATTTATAGTGCACACTTAATAATTGCTAGCTTCTGGTGTTACAAGTACTGTCATTGTTTCACTATTAAGCACCTTGAAGGATTCAGAAGTTACAAAGCACAAATCCTTCCCCTATAAGTTTTATAATTCAGAAAAGGATGGATACACATTGAATCGAGGCCTGGTTTTAATTTTTGTAAATCACAAAGTCCTTAATATTGTTAAGCACATGTGGACTGAGACCCCTGACATACAGGGGACAGACTTTAGGTTGATTCCTGTGGTATTGCTATTAAGACTGGCCTTTTTCCCTTCTCAAAATCAGCATGCTCTCCAGTCCTATCTTCTAGAACGTCCCAAGGAAACAGCAAGTAGAAATGATGCTGCTGTTCTGAGATTTCTGAGACGATGCTCATTCTGAAGTTTTCCACACTGACAAAGGAAGTACCACTTACAACCCCTGGCCAGAGGGCAACCTGTGCGACACTCTATCGAGGCAGCAGCAGGGAAAAACTTTCCACTAACCTTTCTTACTGGCCCAGGTTTCCTATTACTTTTCTATATTTTGACACATAAGAATACATAAAAGTACAAGCTAAAAACTTCTAAGTGCACAATTCATTCTTCTCATGATGTCAGCCACCACCAGTCAAAGTCAGCATTGTCATAAAAAGACAATGAATTTCAAAAGGATACGTTAACACTAAATTGAGTATTAATGAGTAGAATATCTACCAGAGTAAAGTCTTAGTCATTCTGAAGACAAACACAAATGAGAACTTTGTACAGCATAAAATTCTATAATACCATGTTTCTTAGTCACTGGGAAAAAAAAATATGTAACTATTCTCAGGTGAATTTCCTTCTTAGTCTTTTATTTTGTCCATTGATCTATGGGACATGAACACCTAGCAAAAAAGTAGAAATTTCACCCAAATTACTCAACAAGATGTACATCCCCCCAAAACTGATAAGGTTTTTAAATTTTCATTCTACTTACTAAGTAGTTTCATATATTTAGTCAAACTAGCCAAACAGATTTATATATAGACATGACCTTTAGCATATATGTGCTAATGAATTTTATTCCAAACCTTTGAGGATATATTTAAATGAATCCTAATGATAAGGGTAATAACACATAACAAAACAAGGAGTTCGAATGGGATGGGGGAAAAGGTTTATGTTTGTTTTCTTATTTCTTAAACATATGAGGATACTCCGCTGCCACACTGTGAGCTTTGGAAACTTTTAAAGTGAAAAGATTTTAGGATATTTTGTCTAAAAAGAGTAAAGAAATATTTTAATGACTAAGAGCCAAGGATGTCAAGACAAGAGAAAACAGAAGTCACTTCTCTGTTTGGATTTAGCTTTTTTTTTCTCTCTCTGAAATCTGCTCTGTTTGGAGCTGATAGGGTAAATGAACAGGCCTGCTGGTCTGGCAGTTACATGATCCTATGCAAAATGCAGATGGCAAGAGAAATCACTCCCCATGTGCCTTCACTTGGATTACCCCCTGTTCTCTCCACAGAAAGGGATCATTCCATCCACCTCTGTGGTCAGTAGCAAAACTACTTATTGTATGGTCCCAAAGCACAGAGCCTGGCCTGTTGATGAATTGACAACTCTAGGTCAAATGAACGATTTTGTGTTTCTTCCCAAGGAAAAGAAAATCGATGCTGGAATTCAGATGGGCTCATTATGGAAACTGAAATCTATCATGGTAATAGAATGAATGACTCTAACCCTAGAGTGACTTAATTAAGAAATACAAGAGCAAATGATACTCTGGTGTCCAGACACATAGTCAGAAATGAATTTTTCACAATTTGTATGTGTGAGGCCATGCTTTGCCCTTACACTTAAGTAGAAACAAAACTTTGGCTATATGTTCCCTTTCTGAAAGTCACCCCAGCTCCACAGACATAGTTGACTAATACTAAATGTTCTGGTAAACAAAGTGGGAAAGGGGTCATTGCATAGATTTCTAATTAAATGCTAAATGCACACCTAGAACCAATCAAAGTTGCATTCAATATTTAAAACATTCAAAAAACAAGTACTAAACCACCTGACCTACTTTTTCAAGGTGTTGGCCTTTTGGAAATCTTGGGGAATGTTCCTATGAAAATCAAAGTCAGAAATATATGTAAAACCTACCCTTTTAAGCAGACTTAGATGATTCTCAGAATCTTTGAAGAGCAGAAACAGAGAGAAGACATGGCAGTGGAAGGCAGAACGAAATGGTTCTATTCTTTTGGGGATCTGGAGTCTGTGAGAATAGCAGAAAATCATAATGATCAAGACACAGACTTTTTCATTTGTCTTACCACTGCAAGGTAGTCCTTGCTCAGTTCTGAATTTGGAGTACAAACATCCATCACACTCTCCATGAAAGATTACGATGGCTCCATTTGGAGCTTCAGAAGATCACAGGCTGGTCACAAGTTCCCGTCTGAAAAGTGTAGCATCTTATTGGTACAAAGTCTAGGCCACTTGTGTACCACCCCATTTCTCATACCCAATCTCACCAAAGAGTCCTTTTTGACATTTCTCTTATTGCTTCCAGGAAGGGTAAAGTTATAGACAATTATTCCTTTGGGAATGCTGGGAAATTAAGGAAAAAATAATTAGATGCTAAATGAAATTAGAGGATATCCTTAGAAAGGGTGAAATACTTCACTACCAGGGAGTTAAACCTTTTAAGGGATCCAGTGAGTCCCCAGATGAAATCTAAATCCAAGTACTTCACAATTCCATTTTTAAAATATGATAGTTTGCATCTTTGTTCATAGAGAACCTTTCTGTTTCAAGGACTTTTTGGAGAGAAGAGTGACACAAAATGCAAGACGGACAAGAAACGAAAATTGCCTTGGACACTACACTCTGGACATCCAAACCCAGGAGATGCCCGGCTCTGACACTCCATATTTTTTTCTTTGATCTGACTCTTCAAACACTAGCCATGTACAGGCAAATTTCCCTAGTGTCCCTGGTAAGCTTCAAAGTAAACCACCGGTTGGCCCCAGTACCTCTGCACTGGCTTTCCCTCACTGTTTTTAAGTATGAAAAGGAAAGACAGAAAAAAAAAAAAAAAAGGAAAGGAAACTCAGTAAGCATTTTACATGTGTTTTTCATATTGTCCCTTAATCATTCAGTATGAAAGTAAATCGAAGAGGAATGAGGAGTTCAAGTGCTTGAGTTGGGGTGAGAGCTTCAGACTCCTATAAGCCAACATTAATGTGTAGGGCATTTAATTCTGGAATATCTGCAGGGCAGCTGTCTTATGCAGACCAGGTTCACAATAACCTTTCATTACATGTCATCACAGAATGAGAAACAGATATGTGGGCATGAGTGGTGTGTGTGTGTGTGTGTGTGTGTGTGTGTGTGTGTGTGTGTGATGTGTAGGAAATATGATGTGGTTTAAACTGAAAACAAGGATGAAAAATTTGAACCTGCTTTAAAAATTTGGTTATGAATACTCACCAGGGATATGCTGAGTAATTAGTGAATTTATGACTCAGGAATGTCATTTTCTCCATGTATATGTTAGAAAATATATATAGAATATATATTTATAGAATACATATAGAGAGAATATATATATTTATAGAATATATATATAGAATATCAGCTGTCTTCAAGGCAAAATAAAACATATATAAAGAATATATATATAGAATACATATATAGGATATATATAAAATATCAGTTGTCTTCAAGCAAGATAAAACAATTACATGATTCAAATATCCAACCAAGTTGGAAGAGCCTGGCTTCCCTGAAGGGTGAGTCTTCCTGCGTGCCTGCTCAGGTCACGTGGAACACCTCAGCTCCTTTTCTTTCCCCCAGTCTTGCTCTCTCTTTGTACAGAGGCTCACCTCTCAGGAGTGTATCTCGTGCTTTAATTCCTAAGGTTCTGACTGGCAGCCATAGAACTATGTTTCTTATCCTGATTCTGTCTCACTTGCTAATCACGTGGTGAAGAAAGTGCCCCGACAATGCCCACCCTCTGCTTTTAGAATGATCAGGGTCTTTTCTTTCTGTAACCTGCTCTGTGGACTTGCGTTATCTACTAAAGGTTGAGAAATACCAAATGAAAAGCAGCTTCCTTACTATATGATTTCTCAAAGCCTTTAATTTGCCAATGTATATTTTGCATCCAAGAGAGATGAAGCAGATTTGGTCCAGCTGGATATTTCCCTGGGGTTCAGACATTTATAAAACTCATAAAATTATTTTCTGTTTATGTTTTCCCTACTGCTCAAAATATTTGAAAGCATGAGTCAGCTCTCCATAATAATAGGGCAGTAAATTTCATTCACCTCTGCAAAGCATCTTTCATCCTCTACTTAAAGGACACTATCGAAAAATGAGAGGAAAACAGTTTACCTACTTTTGAGGAATCTGAAATATTAATACCCAAGCTGTTTCTGAAATTTTGCAATTCACGACTGTTTTGTTCATGTTGATTCTTTTTGAAATTATTTTTATTTTTCTTTCATTCTTATTTTTACTCAACTGCTGTTACTTGCTGTTATTAAAAAGTAAGAAAAATGTCTTTCGAAGGCTTCCCATTATCAGCTATGTCAAGAATGGCAGGGCATACCTAAGCAATGTCACCAAAATAAAAGGGAAAGATACAAATCTACTAAATACCTAGACTATGAGTCAATAGGGATTTAAGTGCCTTCAATTGAACCAAGCAGGGATGGAAATGATTAAAATATAAAGGACAGCCAGGCTACCAAAAGTAAGTTACAGCTGGAAATGAAATTAAACTCTTAAATTTAAGATTTTTAAATTTGTTTTGTTTTTTGTGTGTGTATGTGTGTTATTGTGTAAAGAGCATACATAGGCCTGGAAGTATGGTTTTCAATGGATAAAGAAATAAACAAGCTGGGAAATTTTAGTAAAATAAATGGAGAGTGGACAGTGCTTCCAGATGGAAAAATAGAAAATTAAAATTAAATTTAAAAACAACCTAAGGGATCCAAAGGTCTGTAAAAGGAATATTCCTTGACTGGAGAACATGCCTAAGACACACGTAACTTCATCACTATGCAGCTTGTACAATATTTCTGCAGCCCAATAAATGTACCCAAAGATAGCATTTTAGGCTACACAGAAAATACCAAGGTCCAGACATATTTTAATGCCAGTCCCCAGGCAGACTGGCCTACAGCAAGATATTCTGGAACACCTGGCTGGCTGGCAGACTTTCTTTGACTGCAGAATTTTGGGACCAAACAGGCATTTATTTCAACCTCTCTGATCCTTTCATATAATAAAGAAGCAATCAAAGAATCCTGACTTTTTTTTTTTTGGAAGCATTGGTTTTGATCCAATGGGGATCAAAACCAGGAAATAGGGGCACAGGGGGCATGCAGGAGGGAAGGGGAGTAATGTGCTTCCCAGCTTCAAATCAAACACTATTGGGAAAATGTCCAGAAAGCAATTCAAAGTGAAAATATTTGCTTTCTGGCTAAATAGCCAGTAGCTTTTTATTGCAAAATGGAAATAAACAGTCCTTCTCATTTATACCAAAAAAGGGCAATCTACAAATAACCCAAATCCCCAAATAAAGGTATTGCCCAACAAAGTAGGACATGATTCATAAAGGTCTTGACTTCAGTTTCCTCAGTGATTACAGCACATGGATTGGAGTGGGCTGGAGTTGTGATTAGTAAAACGTCTCAAATACTCTGAGTGTATACCCCAGAAGACCATGGCCAGTGTGATCCATGCCTTTCATGTTGTTTATTGTACAGACACCTCCCACCTCTCCCTCACATGCCTTGGCATGTTCATACCCACGTCCAGACTATATGCACTGACAATAGTAACAGAAAGTCATACTGAAATCAGTTTCAATGAAGAGGTTCCTATGAAACTGTTCTATTTAATGTTTAATAGCTTTTGTAAAAAAAGAGAGAGTGAAAAATAAATACAGTCAATGATACATACAAAGAGATAGAGATTGGCTGAGAGAAAGATAGGAATAATAACAATATTCACTCATTCATTCATTCAATGATGTATTGCATAGATACTGAACTGGGCACATCAGATATATAAAGGAATGAAAAGTGATTACTCGGCAAAGACGGGAGTTGACAGATATATCACTCAAGATACACTCACATGCAAACACCGACATCTTACATGCAAAATGCATGTTAAAAGTTTTGAGGCTTTTCAGCCACATTATCTCACTTAGTCCTCATATCATCCTTTAGATATCTATCAGGTAGGCAATATATGAGAACACAAAATCAGAAAGGTTGGATTTCTTTCCAACATTCTTTAAAAAGAGTAAGAACTGAAATTTGAGCTCTGGTCTCTTGTGATGCCCTCTATCTATATAGAAACTAAAAGTGCATTAATAAGTCTTTTCATTCCAAAATTAGCTCTTTTCTCTCAATCCCACACTCTACAGTTCTCTCTCGGCTTTAAAGCTAAGTCATGATGAAGGGAATGACCCCAGACTATATTAACTATATATTAGACAAAGGGCTTCCTCAAAGCAAACATATCACCATGTGGAATTAGTCACAGCGACTAGGATTAAAAAATTCCATAAAGAATTTAGAAATCTAAATTGTGAATGCTGTCCATTAATTCATCCACTGAAGTCACATTGGTAGGAATGAACTATTCCAGGTGCTTTTCCAGGCACAAGGGCTACAATAGTGATGAAGATAGTCAAGCTCTCTACTTTCATGAGGAGAAAACAATAACCAGGAAAACAAATGAATAAGATAATTACAGTTACCACCAGTGTTTGAAAAACAATATAATGAGGTGATATGATGCAGTGTAGGGAGGGAGGACAGCAATGTTAGGTGAGATAGTGAGGGAAGGCCTCTTTGAGGAAGTGACTTTTAGCTGAGAGATGAAGCTTCCAGTATATGCTGATTGGGGCAGAGGACTTTAGCCGGAAGGAACAGCAAAGACAGAGGCTTAGGGGAGGAATGAGCCTGAAGTGCACATGGTGAGCAAGGCTAAGCTGGTCCTAGAGGAGGTTGGAGACTAGCCCAAATAAGGCTTTGATGGCTGTCGTAAAGGATGCAATCTTTTTCCTAAGTGCAATGGGAATCTATTAGAGGATTTTAGTTAAGGGAAAGAAGTGCCCTGATTTCAGCAAGTTGATCATGAAGTGAATACCAGAACCTTCAAATAAAGAAAAAGATTCTGTTTTGGAGGCAGCTGGCTTATGATCTGCCTGATGAATGGACATGTGTCTGAATAATTTGCACAAGCAAGGAA